TCTGCATACCCCTATAAGAGGCGCGGTTCTGGAAGAGTTGCAGGCGTAAAGTGTGAGGAGCGAAGAGCAGCTTCGGTGTAATTACCCAGGTTTGAGGTTAGCATTAACCCCGAGACCTCCACGAGTGTCTCGAACAAATTTTGGAACGCATTTCCTTCGGGAAGTGCACAAATAATGCAAATGTGAGACGACTTCACAAAAATCTTGAATGTGGCTACGCAGCGCGTATGCTCGTTGTACGTACGGGGAACAGGGTTACGCTACCTTTCAAGGCCTAATCAGGGCCAAACCGGCTTTTTGAATACTCAACTCACTTTACATCGGAAAGGGCACGAAAAATGGTGAAATGAAAAAAAATATAAGAGTCGCTCACCTGGAGCCGGGGCTGATGGTAAGGGCGGCGAGCGATCCACAGCTTCTAAGTTTGAGGTTAGCATTAACCCCGAGAACTCCACGAGTGTCTGGAACAAATTTTCAAACGCATTTCCTTATGGAGCTGCAACAAACGAACATGCGCAAATCTGGCTTTTTCATGAAAATCAGGAACGGAAAACAAATAAATGTGTGCATTCTTTTTACCGCCTTCGTCTCTCCTTTAAATGCAAGTCAATGCACGATCTCTCCCTAAAGAATAAATCTTATTCACAAAATATGCATCCTTAAAAATTGTGCGAGATATAGAGGGAGAACGGGGCGCACACCTTACGTTTTGGAAATGGGCTCAGAATGTATTGGGGGTTGGGGGCAGGTAGCCTTGATGTGGGGTAACAAAGACATCAGTGATGGGGTGGGGGTGGACGTGTAGCGGGGGTGGGGGTGATCCTTTAACGCGCCAGCACGTTCCCATGATCAGTTGAAGGCCACCAGGGGGGGGCCAATTGGAGGTGGGAAGGGTTCTGGTCTATTAGGGTGTGTTTGCGGCGATGAGGGGCGGTGTGCGGGGTCGAACCCAGGTGGGGAGAGGAGCCCCGCACCGTCCTCGGCTCCTGCACGGTGCGGCCACGAGGGGCGGAGATGGACAAAGAGATGGGCCTGAAGACGTCGAAGAGGGCCGAGATGGGGTGGGGTGGAGAGAGAGCGAGAGATGGGGAGCGGATCATACGTTCTCATGTTATTTGCGGGGTAACAGGTATTTAGGCCTTGGACAGCTCGTCGGCGGCTCCGGTGGTGATCAATCGGGCGAACGCCCTGTAGTCAACCCAAAGGAGGGAAAGTTTGTAAGCAGAAATTCTTAGATAGATAAAGCTTAACCCCAGAAGTACGACGAGTTCAAAGCGTTGAAATAGGTCCCAAATGGCAAGATGGCAAAATCTGAACTCCTTCATAATGACGTGTTTTCCCTAGTGGTGACTTAGCCAAGCCTGCCAACAAAATGTCTTGAAACGCTCACCTCTCCGTTCTCAATTGGGGGCTTTCCCTTGTACATGGCCTGGATCTCGTCGTCATCAAGGGGCTCGCCTCGCTTGTTCTGCAGGATCTTGAGCAGCTCGTCCTCCTCTCAGCTTGCCGCAGTCCTTCTTGTCGAACATCTGCAAAAAGAGGTCTTTATCGTAATCTCAAAATCACAAGTTTTCGTCACTAATTCCTTCATAATCTTTAAATCTGCTACCTCGAAGGTCCGATGATGGTGGCCTCGGGGTCAGTGCTGGTGAGGCGCTCGCCGAACAGCGTCAAGAAGGTGGTGAAGTTCAGGGGTCCGGAAGCCTAGAAAAATGGGTATGTCGGGTATACATTGAAGATAAAATGTAGTACCTGAAGTCTGTTCTACACGTTATATGACTGACCTCTTTGAGCATGGCGTCAAGCTGGCTGTCGGGAGCGACCTGGCCGAGCGAGGCGTACAGGTCCTTCAGATCGCTCCCAAAGGGGTTTGGTGCGATATGAGAGCCGATGAGGAAGATCATTCAACTCTCAAAAACTAGCTGTAACCATCCCTTTAAATCCTCTTACCTTGTCGATGATGCCGTCCTTGTTCTGGTCCATAATACCGAAGGCCTCCTTGAACTCCTGAATGGTCTTCTGGTCGAAGGTGGCTCCCTGGGATCCGGACCTCGCCTTCTTCGAGGACTTCTTCTTCGCCTTCTTCTCAGCCATTCTAGCGCTCCTGGCAGGAAATTACCTGGAAATTCCTTGGTTTAACTTTAGTTTGATTTTTTGCTTTTTCCTGATGTTTGAAGCATAGGAAAGCGAAGAGGGATGTGGGTGGATTCGGAAAGAAAAGAAAGAAAAAGGGGGCTGAAAGGAGATTTCGGAGGGCACCGTTTGTCGACTGCGGGAGGGGGGGAAGAAGGGGCACGCAAAACTGTCAACGTGACGCTGGGATAACGAAGGTTGCGGGGGGGATTTTTTATCTGCATCCGAATGCAGGTGGGGAGGGGGGTTAAAGTAATGAATCACCAACTCAATATCGATGTCTCTCGGAGACTGAAAATTGATTATCAGCTTTTAGACGCGAAAATATTTAGATATCTTGGATCAGAAATTTGCATCTTGAGTGAGCCAGGATAACGAAAAACAGACCAAGGTATGGAAATTTTGATTTAATGATGGTACCAGGTAATTTCCGGTGTGAAGTGTGAGGTGTCAGGTCCAAGGTTGCAAAAGCCTCAAATTCGCATACAAATTACCAATATCTGGAGAGAAAAATCATCAAAACGTCTGAGAAGATTAGATAAAGTTTGATAAAATAGCAACTGGAATCATGAAATGTCAGGAAAGCTAATCAGATCCAATATCCGATGCTCAGTCCATTTCAATTCAGTTCAATTAGCAAGCTTCATCACAACCTACAGTAACTCAAGCCAAGTTAAAACTAAAGTTGAACTCCGAACCCCGGATCGATATCCCAAATTCTACAAAAGCAATCAGAAGAAACCTCAAAGAAAGGGCCAGCCATACTCGGAAGAAGCCGTGCGACAGCAAGAGCTTGTGGGTGAGGGCATGGATGGTGTGTGTGGCTGGCTGGCTGGGTGGAAGGGACCTCGGCGGGTGGATCTCGGAGGGGCTGAAGCAGAGGGGGCGGGCTGGCTCTGGGCACAGGACGCTGTAAAGTTGTTGGAGGAGGGAGGGGGATCGTATGAGGAGTGCAGCCCTGCCCTGGCCAACCGTTGGGGAGGGAAGGATCTAACCAACCTCACTCAGGGCCCCGGCCAACCAACCACACACGCACAGCAAGCCGATCGACAGCCAGCAGCAGCAGCCATGGTGAGTTCTTTCTTCTTTTGGCGGGCTCGATCAGATTTCTGGGGCAGGGTATGGATGGTGGTTACCGTAACCTTACGTGACTATGAATCTGTCATGTCGTGAGCGGAAAATTGTGCAAGATTTACGGAATTAGGGAAAAATCGTTGCCTATACCATTAACGATCTGATACCAAGGTCAGAGTTGTAAATTTCTGGAAAGGGCAAGAACGGTAGTTTCCGTAACCTAACGTGACTATGATTCTGAGATACCTTAACGGGATGATTAGCGAGAATTTAAGGAAGCATGGGCTTAAATACCTACCGGAAATAGTGGAATTCTTTCCAATGCAGTAATATGCAATTGGTTACATTGATCGTCCATATCTTCCCAAGATTCATCATCTGCCACTTGCTGTGAAGGATTTTAGAAGAAAAGGGAAGATCAATACCCACAGCTTTAGCAATCGATAAGAATTTTGAAGCTAGCAATTGATCGAAACCCAGCTTCGGCCGAAAAGTCTTGAACATCTTCAACTCGTCGTTTAGGCCGAGAAGAAAGGCTAAGAAGAAGTCCTCCCAAGAAGGCTAGATCCGATCCCAGGGAGCCACCTTCGACCGACAAAGAACATCCAGTAGTTCAAGGAGGCCTCTCGGTATTACGGACCAGCAAGCAAGGACGGCACTATCAACAAGGTGAGCTGCGGCCGTTTTAGAGAGATCGTGGTCGCTTGTTTTTCAGTTATAACCATCTTGCTCTACGCCTTTGAACACACGCACTCAAAAACCTCTTCCAGAACAACCTAACAGTGACCTCTGGTATAGTTTGACACGCTCGGCCAGGTCGCCCCCGATAGCCAGCCTGACGCCAGCGCTCAAGGAGGTCAGTCAGACGGCGTGTAGAAAAACCAAACAAGATAGCCTATATTTACCAGGAGGTTCATCTAAGCTTCATTTTAGGCTTCTGGACCCTGAACTTCACCACCTTCTTGACGCTGTTCGGCGAGCGACTCACCGGCACTCGACCCCGAGGCCACCATCATCGGAGTCTTCCTAAAAGGAGATTGATTATGCTCTGAAGGGAATTGGTGAGCAACACTTGCGTTTGAGGATCGTGGTTTAATCATCGGTTTGTAGATGTTCGACAAGAAGGACTGCGGCAAGCTGAAGGAGGACGAGCGTTTCAAGATCCTGCAGAACAAGCGAGGCGAGCCCCTTGATGACGATTCGATCCAGGCCATGTACAAGCGGAAAGCCCCCAATTGAGAACGGAGAGGTAGGGAGAAGTTACTCAAGCTTAAATGTCAGCTTCGGAGGAGTTCATTTTAGTAGTGTCATTTTTCTTAGCTCCTAGTGCTTTGACAACCCCCGTTCAGGTCGACTACAAGGCGTTCGCCCGCCTCATCACCACCGGCGCCGCCGACGAGGCTGTCGAAGGCCTGAACGTCGTCGGCGCATCGGCAGCTGCACGCCGTCTGGGAGCTGCGCCATGCCCCTAACCACGACGTGCACCGCGTCCGCGTCGCTCCGGAGTGCGCCGATTATGACCTGCCCCCACTTCATCTGCCCCTCATATTTTCGTTTTCCATGTCCCCGTTCACGCATTAAGGAGGGCCCTCGGGCGGTCGGATCGCGCGTGCTCCAGCCATTCCGCGCCATCCCCCCACCCCCCGTCTCGCATTGAAATGACAAAACTGTACCCTGGCAAGCGTAGGCCATAGCGCAGCTTCACCCTGGGTGATGCAAATTTTTGAGGCTCACTTTTTGACGTTATACTTCCGGTTTTTGTAGAGGCGAATTTGGAAGTCAAACTCTAAATTCTTCCTTCACAAAATCCGAAATCCAAAATCAAACGAGGCCCTCCAGAACTTTGACTTCCACAAAAATTCTCCTCCGACGCGATCCGGCTGCCGAGCGCCCAAAATACGTTTTCATTCTCTATATCGTGACCCCCGTTTTTAGACCGTCATTAGTCCCGTTCTGTTGCCTTAGAAAATTTGAGGAACCACCGTGGGGCTTCTCCTCGAGATGCCCGCAATCCTCGAATTTCTATGACTCCAGAATTGGGTAAAACATTCTAGAATCAATTGTGTATGTTTTTGGGCCCCAATGACACCAACCAAGCGGCTTTCAGATGTTTCTCGAGGATTTTTTATGTCTATATTCTTTTGAATTTTTGCATCGACCAGCTGGCGGCCTAAGTCTTGTACGCGCCTTTGCGCCCCGCCTATCTCTCGCTCTCTCTCACCA